GAAGCTCATGAAATGGGCCCTCCTATCCAAGTGGTGGTGGAGAATTATTCAGAGCCCAAATCCTCTGTGGAAAGATGTCTTGGCTGCAAAATATGGTTTTGATCATATTTCCCATTTGATTAAAAAGGGCTGAGGAGGTAAATATTCTTCACAAATTTGGAAAGATATTTTCAGTTGCAAAAACATTATCATGAGCAATGATGAAGAATCTGGAAGCCACCTTTCTCTACATTACCATTTTCCTTTAACTATATGGTAATGGGCATTGAGAAAATTGGGACTTTTTGTTATGATACCAAAGAATTCAATTGGCTTTATAAAAGGAGTTATTATTTGGAAAAAATTTAGGAGCGCTATCATTTGGTAGATTTAGTTGGAATGCAACATGAGAACATTTGATGGCATTTCTTTGGATTTGGAAGGAGTTAAAGATTGTATTTTGCTGTCTTTATAGGATTGGTTTTCTTCTAAGGGTCGTGAATCTTCACGAGCTGAAATTTATGTTAATATGAAGAACCTAGCCTCCTCCTTCTCCCACTTTTGACGTCTTCATTCAGTTTGGAAACTGTCTCTTATGGGCTCTCTCAAACTTAATTTTGATGGAAGCTCCTTAGACAATCTAGGTCCTGTTAGAGTTGGCGGACTACTTTGAAACCATTAAGGGATAGTTATCTTCTTTTATGCAAGACCTTGTGGCATCACTTTGGCTAATCAAGCTGAAATTTGCTCTCTTGCATGGTCTGGAAATTATTGTCACAAGAAGTTTTGCAGGAGACATTCTTATTGAGGGGGACTCCTTTAATGTTATTAAATGGTGTAAGCGCAAAGAATTCCTTCGTCTCCCCGCATATTTTAGTTGAAAATATACAATCTTTGTGCTACACCGAGGCTTTGGATATCCTTTTCCCATATCGACCGTGAAGCGATTGATGTTTCTGATTGTCTTGTAAAATCTGGGCTTTATTTATTCTCTTTGCTTATTTCTAGTGCTCTAATGTCCTCTGTATAATTTGATGCTTTATTAGTACTTATTCAATAAAAGCTCTTAACATTGTCCCAAAAGCCAGTTGACCATCATTTTAAATGAAATACGATACGGATTGTATACTATGAGACTATTTACTATTATTATATGGAGTTTCAATCATTCCTAGCCATTAGATGTCACATTAGATGGTTTGAGGTATAGCATGAATTTTGAATTTTGAGTCTAGTCATCGACACATTTACAACCATCCAAATTTAAAATATAATAAAAAATAGTAGTTGTGGCCTTCTTGTAATATAGTAAATGGTGTCCTTGTAAACTTTTCCCAATATAATATGTTATTACAAGTGGTATCTATATACTATATTATTAAGCTACAATTAAGGGGTGGATAAATCACATGAATACATGGGGAACGTGTCTACATAGAGGATGTAGGGTAGGTGACCTTCAAGAAGTTTAGAGGCATGATGGAGGGTAATCCTCTCTTCTTTTTTTTTTTTCTAGAGATATTTTAGGATAGGACAGAGAAAATCTTTGTACTTTGAGAGTTTTTAGGAAAAATATATCATGTATGGAGTACATATTATTACAAGTATGTGAAGGTGAAAATAGATTCCCAAGATCTAAACATTTTATTAGTTTTAAATTTTATTATCGGTGTTGGAAATTGATTTTAAAACCATCATAGATATTTTCATTGCCGAAAGTTCCTTCGAGACGAATATTTGATGTGGGTCTTTATTTTGTTTTCATAAAACCTAGGCTTTATTGAAACTTCAACCATTTCTAGTTCTCCGTAAAAAAACATGCCATCTTTATTCAAAATGTGGAAGTTAGTATTCTCTCCCCCATACGTATTTAAATGGATCTATTACGTACAACACATACAAATACATTAATTAACCATAATTACGGGGTGGGAACATGTCGTAAGAATAAAACGGGACGCCATCTCTAGAGAAGATGTAGGAAATGTGACCCTCAAATAGATAATTTTAGAACATGATGTAGGATATCTTTCCTTTTCAAAAAAAATAAATCCTATTTTTTCTGGATAGAAAAAAAAATAAATCCTATCTTTTCTGGATAGAGAGATATTTTAGAATAGCATAGAGAAAAAACCTGTGTTTTGAAAGATTTTAGAAAAGAAGTATATCATAGATGGAATATATATTATTAAACAATACATAAAAGTGAAAATAAATATATTTTAATGTACATTACTCCCATTTTTTTTTTTAGGGACATTACGCTGGCCTTTTTTTAAGAAATATGTAATTCATAAAGGAAAATATTAAATTATGAGTAACATATGTCCAACGAAATATACTCATAGTATTGTTATTTATAATAAATAAATATCAAGTGATTGCTATTCCAAAAATAATTATTTCAAATAATAATAATAGTAGCAGCAATCGCAGCAAGATTACGTGTGTATCATAATACCAAAATTAATGGTGATGATGATATTTCATAATTATATTCGTTGAAGAAAATACTTAAATGATCTCTTTTCTAATATAAATATTTTCAATATAACTAATAATACTAATAGTAATAGTAATAGTAATAGAAATAGTAATAGTAATAGTAGTAATGATGAAGATGATGATAATGATAATAATAATAATAATAATAGCAGCAGCAGTAGCGAGATTACGTATACATATAATATATATAGTATCATAATACCAATATTAATGGTGATCATGATATTTCATAATAATATTCATTTAAGTAAATATTTAGATGATCTCTTTTTCAATATAAATATTTCCAATAATAATAATAATAATAATAATAATAATAATTTATTAAATATGAATATTGTAATGTAAGTGTTGTAATAATTATAGAATATTATAATATCATAATGTCAATATTAATATATATAATATCGTAATAAAATTATTTTGTATATCGGTTATAAAACTTGGCAATGCAATAGTGATCAAAATTTAGAAGAATATAAAAATGCTAAACAAATAGTAAAGCTAAACTTAAGGCATATGATAATCAATATTATAAACTGGGGATGAAAAAATAGGAAAAAGGCATCTTCCAATTAGCAAAAATAGAAGAGAAATAATGTAAGGATATGTACTATATTAAATGCATTTAGGCTAAGGATCAAAGGATCTTAGTGAAGGATGAAGAGGTCCACGATAGGTGGAGAGTTTATTTAAAAAATTATTAAATAACGAACATAATGGGAACACAGCAGTAGAAGGAACCGTTGACATAAATAAGGGTAGAGGTCAACGATACATTTGTCGGATTATAATATCATAAGTAAAAGAAGCTACGAAGAGAATGAAGATATAAAAGGCTTTCGGACTAGATGGTATCTTGATAGAGGTTTGGAAGTGCATGGAGGAAATCGATATTTACTGGCTGATCAAGTTGTTCAACAAGGTGTTGAGAACAAAATAAATACAGACGGATGAAAGAAAAGTATTATAGTACCTATTTACAAGCACAAAAAATATATACATAATTGTGCTAACTATCGAGGAATCAAAACTTATGAGCCACACTATGAAGCTGTTGGAGAGAGAGATTGAGTAATGATTAAAGCATGAAACAAATTATCAAAAAATCAATTTTGGTTTTATGCAAGGGAGGTTAACAACTACGGATTTTTTTCCTACGTAGACAACTGATTAAGAAGTTTAGGGCGAAGGGAAAAGACCTCAACATGGTCTTTATTGATCTAGAGTTTATGATCAAGTACCTCGAGTTTTCATTTGGTGGGTGTTGGAAAAAAAAGAAGTTTCTAGATACCAAATTGACTTAATAAGAGATATGTACAAGAAAGCACTAACTAGTGTGTGGACAACTAATAAAGATACGAGTTAATTTTCAAAGACAATAGGTTAACTTTAGGAGTCAATGTTAAGCCCATAGGAGAAACATTTTAAGATTGAATTGAGACCTAATTTTTTGACACTCAGACCTCTAAGTGTCCAAAAACTCAAAACCAATTTTCTCCTTTTCTTTTTCCATCTTTTCTTTTCCAAAATATAAATCTAGTGAGAATTAAATTCGTTTAGGAAAATAAATACTCTATCTTTGAGAGAGTTATTACGCAACATACTTCTTTTCCATCTTTTCTTTTCCAAAATATAAATCCAGTGAGAATTAAATTCGTTTAGGAAAATAAATACTCTTTCTTTGAGAGAGTTAATACGCAACACGTTTCTACTAGAGCAGGTAGATTAGGAAATGTACACAATAAGATCATTTACTTTACAATCATTATTAACCGTTAGATGTAAAATTGGTGGTTAAAAATATGTCATTGATTGGACACAAATCTAAATTAAAATTGATCGAATGTTGTAATACACTTCAATCTATTTGCCTTCAATCTATTAGACGCTAAAAATGATTATGCCGTCTTTGTATAACAGTCTCATTGTACACAATCCGCTATTCAAATGTGGCATAAGAAAATGCAGGTGGCGATTTTCACATAAGGCGGCATTTTAGACATTCCAAATACATGACCGTGATTAGATTTTGTCACCTATTTTCTGACCTTGTAAGTGAAGGGGCAGAAATTAAAAATAAAAATAAAAAACCATGTGCGATTTAAAAGTGGACCCCAAAATTTCATATTGAAAAAATACTCCTAATTATGTATCCTGCCTGAGAGAGTAAATGTACAATGTGCTCCTACAAGAGCACCTTCTCATATTTGCGCCTTTTTCTCTATTTGGAATTACAATCACAAAACTTGTAGACTTGGGAGTCAACAAATTATAGTAGATTTAATCGTGTACTATGAAAAATCAGCTAAACTTCACCACATACACCAATCACTCACCTCATGCTTCAATTTTCTAAAGTTATAAACATCAGCCAAATTTGCCCAAATCTAATCGACCCCACAATTATGAATATGCACCCTAATTCACTTGCTCAACAACGAAAAAATATATCTAAAATTAAATATCAGCCAAATTTGACCATATCCAATGACCCGCACAATTATAAATATGCACCATACTCACTCACCCTCCAACAAAAAATATAGAACCACCTTTTCTTAGACAAGAAGCCATGACCATGGCCACCTCTGGTGAAGTGAAGATAATTGGCTTATGGGCAAGTTCCTATTGTGTGAGAATTGAGGTGGCTCTCAAGCTCAAAGGCATAAGCTATGAATACATAGACGAAGACTTGAGCAACAAGAGCCCTCTCCTCTTACAACTCAACCCAATTCACAAGAAGGTGCCTGTGCTTTTGCATAATGGAAAGACAATTGCTGAATCTCTCATTATTCTTGAATACATTGATGAAACATGGCCAGATTTGCCAGCTCTGTTGCCCAAGGATCCTTATGAGAGAGCTCTACTTCGATTTTGGGCCAATTTCTTCGATAGCAAGGTAAAATAAGAGTGTTTGACTCGGGTTCAGCGAGGATATTTCCAGCATTCATCAAGCAACAGTAAAATAAATGAAACATTCTCATCTCCCCCTCTCTCTCTCTCTCTCTCTCTCATGTCATCTAACTCTTAGTGTCCTTCCACAGCTATCAGGCAGCGGCAGAACGATTTTCATTACCGAAGGTGAAGAGCAAGAGAAGGAAGTTGCAGTGTTAAAAGAGAACCTCAACGTTCTAGAAAATGGCCTTAAGAAGGACTTTGGCGACAAGAAATCCTTCTGTAACGGCGAAACCCCGGGTTACCTCGAAGTGGTCATGGGTCCGAGCTTTTTCTGGCTCAAAATTCTCGAAGACGTATCCAGAGCAAAGCTGATAGACCACAAAAACACCCCATTTTTGTTTTCATGGCTCACTGAGTTTTGTGAATTTGGGGTGGCAAAAGACGCTCTTCCTGATCAAGCTAAGCTCGTGGCCTTTGCCAAGAAGAGGAGAGAGATGTTAATGGAGTCCTCTAAACATCAGTAGAGAGAGAAAGTATATCAATTTGTCAAAAAACAGAGAGTTTATCGATAAGAAGAGAAGAGACAGGAAATGGTGGTGCTTAGAGTTGGTTGTAGCATTTTAAGCAATCCAAGCTTTATTAATTAAATAGCATTTAATAATTTTCTTTGATGTTTCTTTAACTTTAAGGCTTTATTGGTCTATGAGATTTACTGAAACCAAGAGCTTTAATAATTCTTCATTTATTTTTGCCTCAATTTTGGCCATTGGATATGATGAACTGCGGCCAAGGGTGGATGTTTCAGTTAAACCACGGCAAAAACAGAGAATAATAGCTTAATCACAACAAAAACCATGAATTTCAGCTTAACTACTGTAAGGTCAACATTCGGTGGGGGCACTTTCGGTGCCCCCAATATTGACTTGGAAAACGTTTATTTAAGGGAGAGCCCTGAACAATTAAATTAAGTCGCACGGCATCTCTCGTCTCTCTTTTGGAGATCATCTCCGTATTCCAAATTCATTCCCGTAACCCCAAAGGGATGAGGAGAAGTATGTTTTCTTTTATCCCACAACCCCAAAAAGATGACCCTCAAAAAGGATAGGCAGTGTGTTTTCCTTTCATCCCTTTCATAGAGATTATTGGAGGTTTGTTTTTTCTGTTTTTCAAAAAACTCTTTCAATTTTTTTCATAATACCCTTAATTTTTTATTTTTTTCTATAATACCTTTAATCTTTTAATAAAAAAAATAGATAAATTTTGAGACATAATTGGCAAGAGAGAGAACCAGAGACACTAAGGAAGTGAGAGGAACATGAATATGGATATTAGGTTTACAATGGGCTAGGCCCCCCCTTCAACCAAGCCTTAAAACTAGGGTCTAGCCATAGGGGTGGCAATGGACCCGGATACCTGACATAGGTCCGGGTATGGGTCCAACATTTGGACCCGAATACCTGACATAGGTCCGGTTGGACCCGATCCGTACCCGTAATTTGTTGGAGATAAAATACTTCAAGCCCTAAGGATCATATACAATAAGAACTCATATTCATCTTTCGTTAATAGCAAGTGATTGTGACTTTTGTTGCCAATAATATGGGTATATAATGATAAAAAACATAAAAAATAAAACTAAAAAACAATCAAAGAAGCTCATAATGAGGGTGGCAATAGACCACACCAGAGCCGAAACCCAATGGAATGACCTGATGGGTTATGGATGGGTATGGGTCCAATTTTTTGATTTGACGAGTCGGGTCTGGGTCTGGGTCCGGGTCCAATACCTGGACCCGAATACTATTCAGGTCTGGGTCTGGGTCTGGGTCCGGGTCCAGGTTCAATCGGACCTTACCCGTTCCCGACCCGTTGCTACTCCTAGGTCTAAGCCTGGTTCGACGATTAGGCCTAAGGCCCGCCGTAGGACAAGACCTCTTCGACATAGTACAGGGCAAGCCAGGCTCGGGCTAGCCCTATAGGATCCATGGCTGGCCAGGCCTGTCGGAAGCCTACTCAAAGTTAACATACTCCCGCAGAAGCGTATCAACCGCCCACTCTCGGGTAACTACTGAGGACCCTAAATATTGGGGACGTGACCACCTCAATACCATTAGTAGGACCGCAAATTTTTCCTTCATGGAGCACCCAACCTAAAAAAAAAGAAAGACCACATGTGCTTAAAAAACAGTGGGCTAATTTTCCGATGATAAGATAATTTAAAAACTCAAAAATTCAAATAAATCAAAGTACGTCCATACTCCAAATCCAAATTCCTATATAGAAAAGACCCATTTGGGTAACTGCAACATCGATCCCATAGTTTTAGATGAAAGAAGTCCTCCTAACTAGGTCTCTTGCCCGAAGGAGTAAGAGTATGGTTTTGCTCCCTCAAGGGTACACATCTCTTTGTTTATCACACAAGCAATCCCTCACCCCTTATTTCAACTTATTTGACTTAAAAAGCAGCCAAATTTGACCAAATTGGATGACCTCTAAAATTATCAATATAAGGGAGCCTATTCACTTCCCCATCAACAAAGAAAAACAACAATCTTAACTTACACAGAAAGCGATGGCCATGGTCACCTCTGGTGAAGTGAAGTTAATTGGTTTGTGGGCAAGTTCTTATTGTGTGAGAGTTGAGGTGGCTCTCAAGCTCAAAGGCATAAGCTATGAATACTTAGAAGAAGACTTGATCACCAAGAGTCCAGTCCTCTTACAATTCAACCCAATTCACAGGAAGATACCAGTGCTTTTGCATAAGGGAAAGTCTCTAGCTGAGTCCCTCATCATTCTAGAATACATTGATGAAACATGGCCGGATTCGCCACTGATGCCAACAGACCCTCATGAGAGAGCTCGGCTTCGATTTTGGGCCAGTTTCTTCGATACTAAGGTATGATAAACATGCACACTAGATGCATTTCTACTTTACATCCATCATTTTTCTGCTCCAAAAGTATTGCAGATTTGATGACCTGCAAACAAGTTCAAAAATAATTTAGTTTTAAAAAACAAAATCTGTTTTTTCTTCATATTCATGAGCATGATATTTCAGGCTACTTTCTGCAAATTTCATGAATGCCATACTTGAGAGTTGAGACTAATGACCTGTGAAGTTTTAGATCTAGTATCCATCTCAAATGACCACATTTGAATAGATACATCAGCTCTCTTTCTCACACACACACATTCATCATGTGATGAATATTTTCTGTTGCACCCTGCAGATGTCAGGCAGCGGCAAGACCATCTTCTTCGTCGAAGGTGAAGAACAAGAGAAGGAAGTTGCAGCGCTCAAGGAGTTCCTCAATATACTAGAAAATGGCCTTAAAAAGGATTTTGGAAGCAAGAAACCCTTCTTTAATGGTGAAAGCCCCGGTTATCTCGAAGTGGTCATCGGTTCGACCATCGGATGGTTCAAATTACTCGAAGACAAAACAGGAGCAAAGCTGATAGACCAAGAGACCACCCCATTTTTGTTCTCATGGATAACTGATTTTTCTGAATTTGGGGTGGTTAAAGAAGCACTGCCTGATCAAGCGAAGCTACTGGACTTTGCTAAGAAAAGGAGAGAGATGCTACTTGAATCCTCTAAACATCAGTAGAGACAATAAGAAAGAATATAGAAAATGATGATGATCTGAAGGTCTCTCTTGTTGTATGCACACTATTACCCTAAATAAACCCTTAGTTTTAGCTGCTTAAGCAATCGGACACTCAATTAAAACAGAGTTAGAGACAAATCCTGTATTGTCTTGTGATACTTTGGTTAACTTGGATGTCTATTTATTGTTGTTAAATAAACGGGTGTGTTTTGTATTAGGTGTCAACCTTGAACCATCAAACTAAGGTGCACATTGAAAATATTGCTAAAATATGCAGTTTCGATGGAAACCCTTAAGGTGGTCTAAAAATCCATTTCCACATCTAATTATGAAGTTTAAAGCTCCATAAAAAGGTATAGATCTCAACTTTGTTAATCTTACTTGTTGCCATCTCACATCTTAGAACACTGAAAAAAACTTTGTTTCTTCTCTTATCTCACTATAAGAAGGCTTCATTGATTCTTCTTCCCCTATGCAGCACTGAAAGAAACTCTGTTATTTCTTGTTACTTAAGTGATTCTTCTTTCCCTCAATCAAAATATCTATGGGATGCAGTTGCTATAAGACGACAACCCCATGTAAGGTTGCAATATTTTACACCATCCACTCTACTTGTACCATATAAGTTTGGCCCATCCTTTAATGCAACGCCAAATTTTGACGCAATCTTAGAAGACATCAAACCTACGTAGTGTAGATCACTGCAAATCTACTACCTTATATTTACAAGTTGCTGCCTTGTACAAACTTCTTCAGATTCTAAATGAAAATGAAATTGTCTTATGGACTGGTCATGTCCCAGAGAATAGTTTTGGGGTACGAAGCTCCAAAATTAATATCTACGTCGAACACTTGTAAATGTATTCTCAAAGTTGTGATGCTAACTATGAACACAGACAAATCTTTTCATTGCTTTCAAGGGACAAGTAAATCAAACCCATCCTATAACTGTTACTTTGTGAGGGAAATGTAGAAGCCATTACAACACCATCATGCAACCAAAAAAAGGGGAAGGATTGACAGGTCTCAAAGAAATTATAACAGGAAAGAAAAGCATCACTACAAAAATTTCAAATAGCAATTGGAAAAAAATTCAGATAGTATTAGAAGGAAAAAGAGAGCCAAACAGAGTATCCATAGGAAACTACTGAAAACTTCAAACCTTACAGTTCCTTTCACAAACAAATCACTAACTCAGGTAGCTGGACAAACACCATAAAGGGAAAGGAACAAATAATAAGAAACCAACAAGATGGAAAATATGAATTGTCACCAAGTAAACAGCCGATACAATCTTTTATCATGAGCATCATTTCACTGTAATCCAAAATTTGTTTCGCATACAGAGCACACGGAAGTTTTCAGTGCTTAACTCTTGGCGGCCTGCTTTTCTTTGGCCTTTTGGATTTCAAAACCTTCTTAACAATCTTTCGCTCATCCACCAGAAAGGCCAAAATGATCCTAAACCAAAATTGAAGGAAAATCTTGATATCCACCTTTTAAATTTGAAGTAGGAGCTGGCTCAAAGCTATATTTATTTGACTATGGTTTATATTGAGAAATTCTTTTCATGGAAAGACACTGAATGAGAGAATGAATCAGGAGAGAGAGAGAGAGATCTAAGCACTTATATTTGCATTCTTCGTTGTTCGTAATATTGGTGCTGAGTAATTGGCTTCTTTGAGCTCAATTACATAGGTCTTCTTTCTATACTTCTAGAGTTCCTCAAGAGCTTTATCTTTAAGCACAAGTAGTCTTGTATTTTATCCTGAAGAACCGTCATCGGATGCACATAAAACTTAATCCATCTGACAAAAAATTCATCAAAAAATACAATCAGTTGCTAACCATTTCTTGCAATCCATTCTTGTCTTGAGTTTGACAAGACCCCTAATCTCCATATCAAAACATATAATCATTAGCCATGATTCAAGGTGAAAAGACATTTCTCATATTCAAATTCGGATGAAAGGGAGCGACTCGCTATAGTCACACAGAGAGAGAGAGAGAGAGAGAGAGAGGTGGAGGTGTATGCAAGGTGAATATTCAAACTAAGAAGAGTAGGACCCATATATTAAACCACAAGCGAGAATACACACAGAGAACATACATATATGCAATTTCGAATTAAACACTCACACATACAGATTTCATATGGTGTGGCACATGTTACCTCTCCTTACTTCTCTTCATAAAGCTCATTTGCAGCGCTGTATGAATATCTTATTGTGCTCAGGTTCGTGGATTCTCCATCTCTTCCCTCCATCCCTTTTTGTGAGCTTCTCATTGAACTTTCATTGTTTCTCTCTAAACCTCCATTACTCCAAGTTTTTAGGACTCTGCTCAATCTCTCTCTCTTCCCTCTAAACCTTCATAAATTCGAGGCTGCAGGACACTTCTCAATCTCACTCTTCTGAGAGCCACAAACCAAACCAGGAACAATTCCACCCAAGCTTGCTTTCTGCCTGAAATAGGAAACCATACTCTTCCAAGTCCTTGTTTCTAGTTTTCTCGAGGCAACTGTACTCTTCCAAGTCCGTGTTCCCACTTGCCCTTTCTTTCTTTAGGAAGAAAATACACCTTCTGGCTCAACTAAATCATTTGCAAATATGCTGTCCACGCTTCACTTTTGGTATGAAGTCAATTGGATAACAGTATTGTGCGAATATGTATAGCCTCCATATTTATTTGGGAACTATGTAAATTTTTTTAAACAGTCAGGCTTATCAACAATGGGTGCTACACACCCTTCAATCCTTCTCCAAGCATATTGGACACTTTGACTCTCAAACGGCAGAGGCCCTTGCCTTGCTCAAGGCCCTCAGATTGTTCAATCCACAGTGGAGCCCTTCCTTAGTCGTTGAGGGAGATTCCAAGAATGTGTTTCATTGGGCTTCTGCTGCCTCTCCTTGCCCCTGGTCACTTTCCCATATTATTTATCAAATTTCGCATATTTGCAAGGGATATGGACGTCTCATGGAGTCATATCTGGTGCGAGGCCAATGAGGCCAACAATCTCGCCAAGGAAGGAACATCACCAGCATAGCATGACCCCTGGGACTTCTCGGTGCTTCTTCTTGTTATTATCCTGTGGGTGGATTTTTTTGTATCTAGTGTTTATCTCACCTCGTGGGTGATCTTTTGCACAGAGCTACCCGTCAGTGGGTAGTTATTATATGTTTTGTACAGAGCTCCTGCCCTGCAGGTAGCTTATTTTTTGCAAACAGCTCTCGGCATGTGGGAAGCCTATTTTTTTTATACTTGTACTCCTTTCTTTTCTCAATAGAATAGAACAGTTGACATTTTCAAAAACAAAATCAAGCTACTCAAAAAGACCAAAACTATGTTATAAGACTTTCCAATAGTTGAGTTTCAAGTGCAAGGCTCAATTGGCAGACATGGGATATTGCAACATTGAGTGGTTCAAACCAAGAGAGCTATTTATTTATTTATATTTTACTGGCAACTGTACACCCTGAGAGCTATGTTCACACACGTTCGTGTGCTCACACAGAGAGGAGAGAGTTTCCTTTTCGCATAAGATCAAGGAAAAAGGATATGATTTTCTTTCCCCTCTCTCTCTCTCTCTCTTCTTTCTCCATAGTTAATGAGAGCTACCTTTGGCATAGGCAAATCCCGATTGAAATTTGATAAACGAACATACCAAGAAATGCTCATGGGCTATGAAATAAATGAGTGAACATAACCAACAGTTGGTCTTTTACAAGAACAGAATAAGTTTAAATGCAGCCCAGGGCTTTAGAGGAAACTGTATCTGATATCGGGAGGAAATTACGGATAAGGATGGCGAAAGTAAGATATTCAGATAGAGGCAAAGGAGTTTAATGACGATGAGCAAAAAGAGGTAACCATATAAAGCAGAAAGAGAGAGAGAGTTCATATGATTTGGCACATGTTCTCTCTCTTTGTTTCTCTTTATGAAGCTCATTTTCCTGTATGAATGTCTTATTTTTTCTCATCTTTCAAATGCAATTTCTTCCCTGTATTAGATGTAATTTACTCAAAAGCCTTGGGCTGAGTTTTCATTATCGCATCACTCTTACAAAAGCAATGTTGGTTATCTTCACTCATTTGTTTCATAGGCTCACGACCATTTCTTGGTATGAAAGCACATCAAATTTCAATATGGATTTGCCAAAGTTAAAGATTGCACAAATCAGCTCCAGAGCCAAGAAAATGAAAAGCAATAGATAAAATCATAACCTTTTCCTCCAACCACACATAAGAAAAAACCTCTGTTCTTGTGTGTGTGAGAGTGTTAATGTACAAGTCCCTGAGTGTGAACCTCCCACACCCCCTCTCGCCCCCCTCCTCGTCATCTCCTTCCTCAAGGTTGCAACATCAACTGCCTCCCAGTTGAGCTTTGCACTCAAACTCCAAATCTTAAACTCTTTCGAGACAGTTCTCAAATAAATTTTGAACATGAATGCTACCAATTCACATGAAAACTGTAACTGAATGGACTACGGAAAACTGCATTTCATTGGAAGCAGAGAGACCCCCCTTATAACAGGGTATGACCACAATGGCATCAGTAACTCCATCTCTCATCATGGTCACAATCAATGGATGCTGATGACCCAATGGGTCATGTTTTCTTCATCCACTGAATTACATTAGACTTATCCCATTCAAAACCAGCAATTATTGTGCTTCTAAACAAGAACTATTGGCAATGTTTCCTATCAAAGTGTTTTTTGTTGATAAGAGCTACCAAGGAAGTGTGCACAACTGTATATGTAACAAGAAGAGTAGAGAGAACGAACCATGGGAGTGGCAGTTAAAGATCTCCATATCTTCTTTTGTGACAAATACCCTACAACACACTCTTTCCTCCATGATGAAAGTGAAATGAAGCATATATTGGGAAATACTCAAATGTCAATACAAAAAGAAAATACTGGGTACTAGGAATATGCCATGGAATATGCATCGACCACATTAACAACAATTAAAATATACGCCTGAGTAATATCAAGCACTAACTGCTTGAAGCATAGTGAATCTACCACAAACAGCCAAATAATTTTCAGAGGAAACCAGGAATATGAGAAGAAAAATCCTTATAAAGGCAAACTCCTTTACATTTTAATGTCTGCTTAATGCCTTTTTCAAACTTGCTTTCTGATTATTCCTGAATTATATTTGTAAAACAGGCCTACATGTAGATATTTGAATTTCTAAATAAATACTTCCACCTTTAGTTTACAGTGACAGCTCACCCACCATTACCAAATATGTGACATACTGAGAATCAAAATATCCACAATTTGGGTTCAACACCCATATATATTACATTTAGTGCAGCATGTGTTATATTCAATACAACAT